AAGCCCACGAGACATATTCTTACAATAAATTATCTTTTCCAGTTTTTACTTTAATTTTATTGGGGTGCATTTATGGCCCAATAATTTAACAAAATTCATTTAAAAGTCGAAACCAACAATTATATGTTAACCTCAAATTTTTAGCAATGAATTTAATAAATTACATTTTAATTTAATAATTTTATATTCTGGTTGTGGTTTCCAATTTTCCCTTTTCTCTGCAACAGAAACGGTGGTCTCACCATTGATCAACATCAAGCTCCGTGACTGTCCACCCTTCCTCGGCTCCTACCCTCCCAATATGAGAGGTTTTTTATTTCTTTAGTTCCTCAGTTCTTTGAGGCTTCAGTTTTAGGGCCAATTTTTGAATCAGTCTATATATATGAATTGGTTTCCAATTTTCTGGTTGTGGTTTCCAATTTTCCGTTTCTCTGTCTTCAATCAGTTCTTTGTTTGGTTTGTCTGATGTACACAGATTTCTCCACCATGACCACAGTAACAGATTTGCCTTTTCCTTTTCGCAGGCACCCACACTCCTCACAACCATCTTTGCTCCTCCCTCCTTAGTGACCCTTTGTCGACATCTTGATCGCAACAACTGTAGCAACCCCACTCCCCATCTCAACCATCGCACAGCTACCATCTTAGCCTCATGCAACATTGCGAAGGGTAAACACATTTATTTATATACATGCTTCAGTTTGATCAAGATTTTTAACTGCATTCGCATGATTTTACTTAATCTAACTATTGTTCTCATATAGCAGAAAGCCCTAATTTTTCAAACCCTGAAGTTTATGAACAGTTGAGCTCCACATACTTTGTAAATTGTTTCTATGTAGAAAAACTAAAAACTGCTTTGAGAAGTACATGACATGGAGGCTGAACTCCAAATTGAGATTGCCAGAGATAATTTCCCTCAATAGTAGTATTATGTAGCCAAGAAAACATTGTAAAATTTCATTATCTTATGCAAGTGATATACGCAAAAGTTATAAGTTGATGCGAGTCATGATCGATAAAGCATCATACTCCTATTTTTTTATTTTTTATTTTATATTTTTTTTATGTAATCTGAACAGTGTTGTGGAATTAAAGGTCTGGCAAGAGTTTGAAAAAATAAATTATAAGAAATCAACAGGGCACTAACCGATCCCCAGGGAAGACTAAAGTTTTTGCTGATTTAATAGAGATATCTTTTTCTTCTTTTTCTTTTTTCCTTTAGTTTGTGTATTGGATTTCAAATATTTACTTTTAGATTTGTGGATTATGCTGATTAGGTTATACAACTATTTCTCTTTTGGTCTACAAAACATGCTAATGTGTTTTTATCTTTATTAGTTAAACATGCTGAAAGTCCAATTTTGTCATGGTTTGATTCTAGGCATGTAATTCTTTATCTTTGTGTGGATGCTATGTTATTTTCTTGAGTAGAGTAATTCATGGTCTTCTTTGTTTTATTTATTTTTGTTAAAAGTAAATAAAATAAATAAAATTGACTGACTGAACAGGATTGAGCTTAGGTGTTAATATTATATCGTATGGAGTCGAGACACTCTTCCATTGATGTAGCAGAACTAGGATTTATTATTGAATTGTTAAGTTATTTCGACCTTCATATTTGTTGTTTTGAAATTCTTTCCATGTCCTTAATATATTGCTTTTTAGGATGTTAGTTTTGATGCTCATTTTTTTTGGAAAAATTCACATCGATTGAAGTTTGTAATTTTTTTATTTACCAGTGTGAACTCTTCAAGATTGAGGCATAAGTTATAGTTATAAAGGTAAATTCATGATTTAATTATTGAGCTTCGTTGGAGGTTTTATTTAATATAATTTGAATTTTTTGGCTAGGGGATCATGTATATTTTTTGATCTGAATCAAAATATTATATTATTTTTTATTTTTATTTTTATCATTTATATTTATTTTGTATTTTTTAACCTTTATAATTAACAATGTTTCCAACCAGTTTGTTTTCTTGATGGGAACTCAAAGCAACATATTCATCCAAAAATGAATATTAAACACAAGGTAAACTTTAATTGCTTTTTAAATTTAATTATGTGTCGGTTTACAATCTTAAAAAATTCTTATCCATTATAACGTTGTTTAATCATGTTCCAATTAATAATGTAACTTTTCTTTTCTGTGAAATACATGTCTCACATTCCTTTTTTTGGGTTTCCATTGAACAATACCCTCAATGAGTTAGAAGAGTGTAGGAATAACCTAAACTCTTACATTAGGAAAAAAAACACAAATACTCTCGAGGTTTTGCTTTAAAGTTAATGATTTTGGCGTAAACTATTTTAATTTGTTGGGGTTTGATGGGTTTTGATTTCTGAAATTTGAAATGGATTTGATGGGTTTTATTTGCAGAAATCTGTAGAAATTCAAAGTCGTTTCGCTTGAGACATCACCCCCGGGAACAAGTTTTCCGGCTTCGGCGTTTTCCGACACATCCCCGTGAGTTTACTCTCTCTATCTCTCCTAAAAATGTGTATAGATATATGAATCTATAAACATATGAATTTGTGAGCAGAAATGGTATGCTCTCTCTATGTCTCTCTCTTATGTTGCTTTCTATGGATATCTATGAAAAGCCATGAAATTATTGTTGTATTTTTGTTATCAAAATTAGACCAAATTGAATAAAAGATTCTGCCATGAATACTTTCATCCCATGAATACTTAAACTTCCATCAGATTTTAGATTTTAGATTTTAGATTTTTCAAACAACCCATTGTTTTTTCAATGTGTTGGGTTAGTTTTAGGTTTTTGTATCAGTTCAAATATTTAAAATTTCATCAGATTTTTAAACTTTCATCCCATAAATATGTCGAAATTCCACCATAAATCGACCCATAAATCAGTAGTTTCATCACATTTTTATCAACCCATAAATCAATAGTTTGTACCAAAAAAATTATATCCTGTTTGGTTGGAAAGAAAGTGGGGGAAATTGGTTGTGCATTTGATGATGGCTGTGTTCCATTGTATTTTCAATGTGTTGGGTTAGTTTTATTTGGGTTAGTTTTATTTAGGTTTTTTATGCCATTTGTGGAATACTTGATAGTTTTACTTGGGTTTTTTCCTTGCTACACTTCCTTGCTGCACTTATGCATAAACTTTTATCTGATAAAATTTTTGCCATGAACACTTTCATCCCATGAATACTTAAACTTCTATCAGATTTTAAATTTTAAAATTTTCAAACTTTCCATTATTTTTCAATGTGTTGAGTTAGTTTTAGATTTTTTTTATCAGTTTAAATATTTGAACTTTCATCAGGTTTTTAAACTTTCATCCCATAAATATGTCAAGTATTCCACCATAAATCAACCCATAAATCTGTAATTTCATCATATTTTTATCAGCCCATGAATTAGTAGTTTGTACCCAAAAAAATTATGTCCTGTTTGGTTGGTAAGAAAGTGGGGGAAATAGTAAAGAAAGTGAAATTTGGGCTATATATATATATATATTTAGCTTTCTGAGAATGAAAAGAGAGTCTTCGTTTGAGAAGAGAGAAGAACGAGGGGATATCAGTTGGTGAGAGAGAGAGAGATAGTTGAGAAGATTAATGTTTTACAGTCTTTGGGGGAGAGAGACTGAGGTAATAGAGAAGAGGAGAGAGAGTGGGTGGGAAAATTGAGAGATTGCAATTTGGGAAAGTGCAATTTATCTTGGGAAGATTTTTTTTATTAAAAATATAAAAAATGCTACATATTCTTAAAAAAATACAACTTTATAACTCTGACTCACCTATGATTCCAGGAAGGAAAGAAAAAAAATAAAAATATATGATTAGTTTACATCATTTTGGGAGTCATGGAAGTTCCTAATTTTGGGGGTTCCTGAAATTTATTTGGATTACTAAATAAATTGGTGTTTCATTTAAGTTTCATATATTTATTTAGGAATTTTTCTCCTTCTTGTGAATTCATTACCTACTCTTTGAAAAGAAAAGAAAAAAAACAAAAAACAAAAAATTTGAATACATTCCTCTATAATTTTGATTTATATTTTAATCTCATAATTAATTGTACCGTGCCTTCAGGCACGGGCATACGCTAGTACCATATGTAACATAAATCTCCCAAATAGGACTTATAAATAGTTTACCCTAGATATTTTAGTAATCAAGATATTTTAATTTCTATAAATATTTAGAATTTCTTTACTCACATCTATTAGATTATAATTTCAAGTTACTATTTCCATAATCAAAATATGTAAAAATTTGAAAAAATTACAAAGACGCCACATGAGGTTTGATTAAAATACAAATCGTCTTTTGTGATTTTGAAAATCACATTCCACCTGCTGAAGTTTCTAATTTCATAACAAATCGCCTATTTTATTAATAAATCATCAAGTCAATTAATAATTTTTAATGATATTATAAATATATTTCAATTAATAATTTAAGTAATTTTATTTTTATAGAGGAGAGCAATTATAAATTTTATTTATTAGTTAATTTTTTTTAAAAAAATTTTTAATAAAGAGATATTTATAATTTTTTAAATTAAAAAAAATAATTTATATTTTAAACAAATTTCGTACGATCCCAAATTTTTTTACATCTATAGCCTCCGTTTGGGAAGTGGGTTGGCTTTTTTGGCTATTTTAGCCTGGGCTTAAAAGCTTGGTTTGGGAATGACTTTTTGACTTTTTGACTTTTTTGAGTTTTTTTGTGAGAGAAGAATGTAATGATTATAAATTGGATGTAATGTTTTGTTTCTTATGACTAAAATAACCTATTTTATTTTTTATGACTAAAATAACCAAAAAAACCTGTAAACCCACTTGCCAAACACAGCCATAATAATACCTTCCGTTAAACATTTTTCGATCTTTAAAATTGTGTCTTCTGATTAATTATTTATTTATGGTTAAATTCAACTTAATTGAATTAGGTAATCAATAATTACTTTCCTATTTAGATGAAGATTTGGAATCAGATTCAAAATGTAATTTGAATCAGATTCAAACTCACAAAGCAGAATCCAAAACAAACATCTCTCTCTCTCTAGGAATGGCCGAAGATGAGGTGCTCATCGAAGTCGATGCAGTGCAAGCGGTCTACGGCGACGATTGTGTTGTTCTTGAAACATACCCTCCTCATCTCCACGTTCACATCAAGCCCCGAACCGCCGATGTCTCCTCCCAACAGGTCCCCCTACTATCTCTTTATCTCTCTCTCTCTCTCTCTCTGTGTATATATATATACTCAAATTCCCAAATTATCTGTAAATCTATGATGCGTTGTGCTTGTTTGTGCATTTTATTAGCTTCTACAATCATCACAATCTAATTTTCCCGATTCGCTTTATGGGCTTTCTGTTACTTTTATGCATTATTGCGTGCAAATTGTGTTGAAATCTGGCTCATTACATTTAAACTGTGATGTACTTCTAAAAGGGTATAAATTGATGAGTTATGTATTGGGTTTGGCTTTTATTGATCCTGTATTGGTTTGTCTAGGTGTGTTGGGACTGTTATCTGCTAATACACCTTTGAAAGCAAAGTGACTTGGATTGTGTTTAGAACTCTTCTAAAATTGAGTCAGATTCATGCAGAGGCAAATATTCAAGAATTAGCCCAATTTTATGCTTATTCAAAATGTTACTCTGTGTTGAATTCACATTGTTTTGTTTTCCCCACTGCTATTTGTTAGTTGCTGACGATGAAACTTGTGCTTGCGATTTAATTATTCTCTTTTTGCAGTTCGTGGAAGCAGTTCTTACAATACGAGCTGGTCCCCAGGTAATCTATAGCATAAATATATCAAATTCTGCCCATACTTACTGCTTAATTAGCTGAAGATTTTGAGGTGTTTTGAGTTATTTATTGTTTTACAGTGCTGTTTGTGGCCAAATAATTATGTTGCAGTCATGTGTTCAATTAACCACAACGTGGTGAAACTGTGAAAGACTACTAGTTAGTAGTTTATTTAGGCCTAGTTTGGAAAGACTAAATAAGTGCACTTTTTGACTTTTATTGTATTATGTGTAGAAAAAGTAGAGAGGAGATGTTGATTGATGTGACCCAAAAAAGATAAAAAGATGAAATAAGTGCACTTATTTTGTTTAGCCAAACTTGGCCTTACTCTTTGTTAAATTGTTGGTAGTTTTGTTAGTTTAATGGAGATTTGTACATACTCATGAATGTATAGCTTATAAGATCTGGGCCTTTGGGCGTACAGGTTCACCCCTTTTTTTGGAGAAGTTAGAACTATCTAGAGATTAGAATCTAAAAGTTTTGGATTATAATTTATAGATACATGTTGGGAGTCTTGGAACCATAAATGAGGGACCAAAACACTAATTATTACAATACAATGAAGGAGCTAACCATTAGATAAAGAAAAAGAGCGGTGCAGACAAAGACAAAAAGCAAACCCATTTGTAAGTTTTGAAGGATGCCAAACTCAGGGTAGGCTGGTGGAATTTACCCTATATATAATTTTGTTGCACTATCTAACTAGGGAAAGTCTTATATAAGTTTGTATTAATGGGGTCAACTTTTTAGATCATCTCTAACTTATTGTGTTTGCACTAATCTTTACTTATTTGTTCTGCAGTATCCCAACGAGCCACCTAATATTAATATTATAGAGTCCAAGGGTCTTGATGAACAAAGGCAAAAACATCTTATAACTGGTATTCGGGACAAAGCTTGTGAGCTCTCCTCCTGTTTAATGCTTGTAGCACTTTGTGAGGTAATTATTGCATTACTCTTGTCAATGTGTTTGACTACTTACTGTTGTCAATTTAGTTGAAAGTGGAGTAAAAGTATCCACTTTGTGATATATGCATGCTTTTACTTTGTATCAGCAAATATTTTGGCCTTCGTACTTAACCTTTTGATTTGATAGAGCTGTATATTCTATTTCTTTATTTTATTTTTAAAGAATGTTAAACTTCAACCTAAAATTCCATGGTAATTGCCAAAACATTCTCATATCTCATATGGTAATTGCAAAAGTCTGATTTCTCAGATCCAAGGTGTTCTAAAACATGCTAAACTCAAAGTTAGTGATAAATAAAGACCATAAGGCATAAAATCAACACATTAAGGAGTTTAAACAACATGGAATCAAATCATAGACTTAAGATATGAAATTTTGAACATAACAGTCCGTCTGTTTGAGATAATCTAAATAAGTGCAATTTTTGATTTTTTACGAAAAGATGTGCAGAAAAGTAGAGAGGTGATGTGACCCAAAAAAGATAAAAAGTGTGCTTATATAGCACACCCCAAACAAGAAAGTTTTTTGTTTTTCGTGTTTTTTCATCTCTAGTGAACTTTGTTTTATATTTTAATCATTTTTATTTTTATTTTTAATTTTTTAGATGCACCTAATTTAGATATACTTGTAAAGTAAAATATTTGTGAAGAAATCTAAAATTTTTACTAAATACAAAAAATAAGAAAATGTACTTATTTTTTGTATTTAATAATTTTTTTTAATATTTCTTCACAAATATGCTACTTTGTAATTGCATCTAGATTAAGTGAATCTAAAAAGTAAAACAAATTAATTAAAATATAAAAGATTCACTAAAGACAAAAAATACGGAAAACAAAAAACTCAAAACAGAGTTTCAAAAACTAAACCAAATAGATCCTTGACATTCTTAAAATTTAAAAAATATTTGAGAGCAGTGTTATTAAAGGTGCGCCTAGGCCCAAGTCCCATCCAGGCTCAAGGTTTGCGCCTTGTAGTGTTCCAGGCCAGGTGACTTCGATAAGGCACGCCTAGGCGTGCGCCTAGGCCCAAGTCCCATGTCCCATCCAGGCCCAAGGTTTGCACCTTGTAGTGTTCCAGGCCAGGTGATATCGATAAGGCGCCTAACTAGTCCAAGGCACAATAAGGCCCAAGGCTTGTGTCTTGAGGGCTTTTTTTATTATTGTTTTAATTAGTTTTGTTTAAAATCTGACCATTGATTTAATATGGTGAAGCTATAGAAGATCTCTATTCTTATTACAGATGCCAATACATTGGGCATTCAATCCCAAATCAATGATAGAAAAAAAATTATCCCTAATTCCTAATCTCCGAAGAACACTAAATGTTTTACATTTTACTTTATTTATGTTGAATCCTAAATTATTTACTTATATTAAATTATATATTTTTTTCCGTACAAGGTGCGCTTCACTTCGGTGAAGCCTATGTCTCGCCTTGCGCCTTGAGCCTAGGCCCTAGGAGACTTTGGCGCCTTAGTGCACCTATCGCCTTTAATAACACTGTTTGAGAGTAATTGAAATATAATTATTTACTCTCCATGTTCTTATTATTATCATCAAAATCAAACTGAACTTCCTTCTAGAAACCTTGGGGCTAACACTACCTACTTGTTGAAACTTAACTAAGGCCAAGTTTGGAATATAGCCACAAAGCCAAAAAGCCAAAAAGTTACTTAAAAAGTTAAAAAGTTAACACTATTCACCAAAAGTCAACAATTACGGCTGCACAACTCCCAATTCGAATTTTTTCCTACAAATCAATTTTTACAATTTTTTATTACACATTTTTTCATAAAAAGTCAAAAAATTAACCCAAACATCCATATTTTCAACCTTAATTTTTTAGTCCAAAAAGACAAAAAAGTGTACTTATTTAGGATACCCCAAACAACCCCTAAGTATAAATTAATAGTGTTTGACTAACAGACAATACTAGTTATGGTCTGTCTTATCAGAAAACTACTAGTTAAACTAGCTAAATGTAACTATTCCTTCACAATGAATGTCCCACCCAAGCTTGATCTGCCGCTTTGATGGTAATACACACTTTATATCCCTCTCTTATGTCAGAGTCGACTTCATTCTTAGTAGCATTGAAGTACAAACTAAACCATGAGTTTGAAACTTAGATGCTTGGAGATGTTGAGTCTCATCCTGTAAATGATGCACGGACACGGACATGGGACACAACACGGACATGCAGACACTCAGTTTTTCAAAAAATAGGAGACACGACACGACAGGCTGGGGACACATTCAATATATATATTTTTATTTATTTATTATATGTCTAAAATAAAAAGAAAATCATTAATTCTTATACAATTACAATAACTATAAAATTAATAAACACATTTCTTAATTTTTTTTAATAAAAAATGAGTTTTTTTAAATAAAAATAATTTATTCTACGAATTTTAGGTTTAACAAAAATAAGAATAAAAGAAAAAAGAAAAAAGAAAAAAAAAGGAGGGAAGAAATCAGGAAAATAAAGGAGAGAGAAACAGAAAAAAAAGAGAAGAGAGAGAGAGAGAGAAACGGGTGAATCAGGAAAAAGATAGAACAAATAAAAAAAAAGAGAAACTAAAGAGGGGAGAGAGTGAAATCAGAAAAGGGAGAGAGAATCAGAGAAGACGAAGACGAAAAGGGAGAGTGAAACAGAAAAAGGAGGAGAAGAAGAAAATGAAGAGAAGAAGAAGGAGACAGAGAAGTCGGAGAGGAGAAGAAGAAGAGAGAAGACGAAGAAGAATACCTCAGGCTTCTTCGATTGATCTAAATAGGTTAGGGTTTCTTTCTCTTCCTTAATCTATTTCTCTCTTTCTCTGTCTCCTCTCCTCCCTTGATCTTTTTGTCTCTTTCTCTGTCTCCTCTCCAACAGTTAGGGCTTCTTCGATCCAGCTCACGCATGTCCAGAAAGTGTCACGGCATGTCCATGGCTTGTCCGACCGGAAAAATTCAAAAAAAAGAGAGGACACGTTAGAGAGAGTGTCGGACACGTGTCCACAGTGTATCTGTGTCCTACACATGTCCGACACTAGTATGCAAGTCCTAGGGACGTGTCGGTGCTTCATAGCATCCTGTAGTAGTGAGGGAGTTCATCTTTTTTATACTTAAGATCAATTTTATATATAGAATTACAAGTTCATGTATAGTGTATTCTGTTGGAATCGTTTGAAACAAAAAGATCTGTTCCCTTTGGGATCAAAAGGTGACAATCGTTGAAGGGCTAACTTTTATTGCTATATTGCAAGACTCGATTATTGAGGCCATCTCAAGAACTGGAAGCAATTTTCATGTTTCATGAACTTGAAGACATTGACTTTTTTGTTGGGGCTACATCTTCCTTTGATTTCTTTGTGAGGCAACCTTTATAGCAAATTATCTATTTATGAGGTTGTATGGACCTTGGAACTCTAAATTAGTCAATATAGTTAATCCTACCTTGTTCTTATTTGTCCCCTGTTTTATGTGGGAAATTTTGAAATCTTATATTGTTTATGTTTATAAATTGTAATGGCTTGTTGTGCTTTACTTTTCTAGTGGATCTTTTCCTCCTAAATATAGTTTGCGTCTCCATGATAAGTAGGGGTGTGCATGGGTCGGGTTTATCCTTGACCCATCAACCGAACTGAACATTTCGGGTTGAAAGCCTTCCTACCCATTATCGACCAATCTCTCCTTCGAAATTGACCGGGTCAAACCTTTTGGTTTGACAGTCGGTATTGGTCGGATGTATGTAGAACCGCAAAAGTAGAAGTGGATGAAAATTTGAGAAAAATGCATCTACATCTATGAAAATAAATCTGAAACAAGAATTCCATAGATGTACAAAACAATATTATGAAGCAAGGAATGAGATATATACATATATAAACATTGATTTGTGAGAGATGTATCTGAAAAAAATAAAAAATAAAAAAAAAATTCAATGTCTCACTAGAAAAATACAGATATGAGAGAGATGTCCCAAAAAAACCCATTTTCAATGCCACCATACTTGAAGAATACAAATATGAGAGATGTTTTAAAATAATATTGCTCTTTATTCAGTCCTTCTAGTTTGGTGACAAGTTCCGACGATGACGAGTTTGGCAATGATTCCTGATGGTGATGAGTTTGGGGCGAGAACATCACATGGTTAGTTGAGGGGGAAGAAAAACGATGAAGGAAAAACGGTGAGGGTAGTTGCAGAGAAAAAAAAAAATATAGAAGGTGAAAACAGTGGGGATAGAGTTGAAATTGAAAAGTCAAGCCTCTCAAATTAAATAATGAATGAGATAGAGATTGTCGGTGAGTATACTCAGTGATGAACAAGTGTAATCCAAGGAACTAATGATAGGATGCCACATGGAGGGACAAGCTTCTTGATAAGCACCGTTAGGTCAGTTGGTGGAAATCGGTTTCAACAACATTTAAACCATTACTCGAACCGTAATTTGAACGGATTGGCTTTTCAAATCCATTGCTGACCGTAACTATGATTGAAACCGTCCATAAGTCTTATGGTTTGGTCGGTCTGGTCGGATTACTCGGATTCATGCACACCCCTAATGATAAGTTTATTGTCAACAACAAGTATGAAGCGGTATTTTAGATCTGTTTAGCAAAAATAAAGAAGCAAACTATATATGTTTGTGTTACCATTTTCCAGAGTCACCATCGTTGAATTGGAAAATAATTTATGTACTTGTTTGCTATGCCTACAAATGCATTTTTACAGACATTACAAGTTGTTTCTGACAAATATCTTAAAATCTTGAACTTTATTATTACTAGATCAGCAGTCATATTGTTGGATTTATTTTGGAGTTACAGCTGGCAATATTGAACTTTCATCTTGTTTTGACTACAATGTGATGGTTTTTGTTTTGTACTATGGAAATATATAAAGGTCGTACATCAATTTTTGTTTGTGCAGCAGGGCCTGATTGCATTTTCCGAGAGTGAATGTGTGTTTACCATATTTTCAAAATCTGGAATTACATTATTTACTTTTCAAATATATCTAGAACTTTGCAGAATACTGATTGTCTAAACATATTACTAGGAAGCAGTGGAAAGGCTATCTAGCATGAATCACCCTGATGGAAATTGTCCATTGTGTTTGTATTCATTGGTTGAAGAAGATGCAGGCAATAACATATTGCCATTTATGAAGTTAATGTCTTGTTTCCATTGCTTTCATTGGTAAATTCCAGATTCTAGTTTTTTTTTTACCATTTCTCTTTATAACAATTTGTTTGATTTTCAATTTACCTATTTGTTCATTTGCATCAGTGAGTGCATTATTAGGTGGTGGAATTGGCTCCAGTCACAAAAAGAGATTAAGCCAACTAATTCATCGGGTGCAACTGTGCATGCTTCCACGAATACGGTAAATCAACGAGGTAATCTAGAACTCATGGATTGTAGAAAGTATTTGTGTACACAATTGAATAGTTTGAGGTGGGTCTTTGGTTATTTGAAAGACAACTTTGATTGGACATTTGGAAGTCTAAATAAAAGTGAGTGGTCTATTGGATGCGACTTGGAATTTGGAATTAGCTTGTTGCAATTTTCTTTAGCAATTAAATGAATTTGTTTAATCAGCACTTGTCTATAGTAAGAAGATATTAATGAATGATTGCATTTCTCATCTGGAGGCATTTGTGTTTTACTTGATTATGGTGTTCCACTGGTAATATCGATGCATCTGTTTTACAATGTCAGCTTATATGTTCAAATGCTATTTAGAATGAAATGATTAGTCGAGTTTCCATGGGTGTTGAAATAGCAAACAGGAACTGAGGTGCATAGTTTGGTCTTGAAATATTTAATTGTAATTTAAATATGAATGGATGCTGAATTTCCTGCAACATGATTCAAGAAGAACGGTGTTCCTGTGATTAGTTTATGGGGGGGAATGATTTAGGACTTGGAATTGAGTGCTCATGTTTGCATAATTGTAGCGTAATTCTTTGGGTTTGTCCATGGATGTACTTTGTAGTATACATTTTCATTATATGGCGTTTTGTGGAGTTGGCATAGAACTCATTTCGGGCACATTTTCTTTAGTAGGTGTAAAGCAGAATCCATCTCATCATTTAACAAGTTGATATCATGCGATATCTGCATTTGTGTTTTAACTGGCATGTGAGGTTCTTTAGGGAAATTCTATTTGCTCAGCACTACTTTTCTCAGTGCACATCATTTGCTTAGTACACACCACGCACAATTTGATTTCTTTTCTCAATTCACACCATCAACTTTTTGATAATACCAAAATACCCTCCTCATCTTCTCCAACCTAACCCTAACCCTAACCCTAACCCTAACTTCTGCGGCCGCCACCTCCCCTCCCCTCCCCTCCCTTCCCGTTGTCTCGATCCCTCTCTCTCGGTCACACAATGCTCTGTTCGTGACTGCGCGACTGTGGGGATGGCGGTGGGGGGTAAGGGCTGTGATGGTGGTGTAGTTGGGGCAAGGGATGTGGGGTTATAGTTTCTAAAGAAGAAGAAGAAGAAGGTGTCATGATGAAATTTATTTTTCTAGCACATTTGAGCTTTTCAAGGTAATTAGTTGCATGATTGTTCACACTCCCATATTTCTCATTCTAGACTTGGATATTTTGATTTGTTCAACTTGCTTTGTCGAAACACTGTAAAAATGTCCCTTGTGGTAGCCTATGAGAGTCCTTTTCCTTGGTTTTCTTCTAAATCTTTGGAAATTGCAATGCCTAGATATGTTTGGTCGGATATATTGCGAGATGGTTTAATGTTAGAAATTGGTTTGTTGAAGTAGCCAGATTTCACTTTCTTTGAGAAAATAAAAATTGAACTTTCTGGACGTAGATAGAAAAAGATTCTCATAACCATAGAGCTAGAACAATCAGATAGTATTGGTGGTGTTTGTGAACGCTTAAGGGCAAAGCACCAAAGCCTTCTCTCTTCCACATAATTGCTTAATTATCCAGCTATTGGTGCTGTCACTTTTCTTGTTGATAACCACCAGTATCACAACGCCATATTCGATGACAGTTTCCTTGTCATATGTGGTGAGATACTGCCTTGTTTTTATAACTAGAGATTATGTTTCTACTTATTATTGTTGTCAATGCTACTTGTTCTGATAAGTAAGGGGTTTGCTTGTTGCATAGGCATGCAGAGAATAGCGGAAGAGAGCACAGGTAGCTGCCCTGTCTGTCGTAAGGTTGTTCATGCTGGGGATATCGAACACGTGCTTGACTTGGTTGGGGCTCGTTCACAGCTGGTATGTCATCACCAATCAAACTTTTTGCTACCATAAATTGAAGCACATTTTTATTTTTACTAATAAGCTCTGTCTAGTATCAATCGGCTATCGTCTTTGTAGCCTCTAATTCGTGATGATTATTGTTGTTGTATTCAACTGGATTCTGGGTTTTCTCAATCAGCTGGTGGCAGTTTAGTTGCTTTTGTGCAGAATAGAATTCCAATCCTGTTGCTTGCTTTATTGTGAACTGAGTTCTATCCCATTGTATTGCTTAGTTTAGTTTTACCTTTAGAGGTGGGTTAATGACATTGGTGCAAGTTCATGTCAGTTATACATGCCAGTTATGGAACTTTTTTCAGCCAAAATAGAATTGCTAGAACCTTGCTACTGTGTTCACTACACCTGCTGGTTGCCAAATTGTTGATGTGTTATGCATTTAAACCAGCAGTGCAGACCCCTCCCCCCACCCCCCATGCACGCGTGCACACAGCCACACAAACAAAGAAAAGCAGTAGTGGCCGAAAAGAGGGTAAAAAGAAAAGAGAGAATGGTAATAGTAGCTGAACTATTACTTTGTTGAAAATGAAGTTATTGCTATTTACACGCATCATAAGAGCTAGGAACCCAAAAGAGACTTGATGTGGAAGTCTTTCAATACCAAGAATTCATTCTTGAGTTTTCATGTTAATAAATATTTTTAATACAAAATTAATGATAAAGAAATCATAAAAAGTCAAGAAAGGCACAAATAACTCATTGCCAAGGAGGTGTCATGACCAATAATCTCTGATATGTGCTGATTTCATAAGGTTGTTACTGTTTCCCCTTATTATGGGGATTTACTACCTTCTTCTCTCTCTCTGTGTTTGTGGTAACTGTAAATTGCTATTAATTTCTTTTGACTGACAGACATTATGTTTGTATGTTAATGTTAATTGAGTTATAATAATGTTGAGACAACGGACACCTGGTGATGTAGGACAGTGAGGGACAGTCACAACAGTGCTGTTAGGGGCTGTGCAAGTGTCGAAATTTAAGAAAGAAAAAAAGGAGAAGAAAAAGAGAGCTGCTATTAGCACCTACCTAATTTCTTTGGAACCCCCCAATTCCCATTTTTTTTTTTTTATAATTTTTTTTTATTACAATTATATTGTGAAGTAAAATTATATTAAAGGATAATCTTTAATGGAACACCTACTCACCAAATAAAGACAATTCTACAATATTATACACCCACCTCCCCCATCTAAATGTATTCCTCATCCACCTAAACCCAACATATTCCTCTTTATCAACGTTTCTCTTCATCACCATCCTTAAACTCGACGTTCCTCTTTATCACCATCCTAAACCTAACGTATTCCTTTTCATCACCATCCCAAACCCTAAGCGTATCCCTTTTTATCACAATCCTAAACCCTGAACCTGAAATCAGTGGTTGAATTGGAATGGATGTATGTTGTTTGGTTTGTTATATTGAATTAGAATGGAAAAGTGTAAATTGAGGGTTACGTTACATAGTACTGAAAAAATTGTTTATGTTCGGCAAAATAGTGCTAAACAAATGCTGTTCGGCAACACAGTGTTGAAAGAATTGTTTATGTTCGGCAACACAGTGTTGAACAAATAATTTTTGTTCGGCAATATAGTGCTGACAAAATTGTTTATGTTTGGCAACACAGTGCTGAACCAACCCTTGGGTGGTTTACCGGTTGGACAACCGGTGGTGTGATTTTTGCTCAATTTTACAACAATGATGCAATGATGCAATGGTTTTCATAAAATGGACACTGCTGTTCACTGATTTCGAATAAATCAAAGAGAGGGACTGTCACTTTCACTATCATTGTCATCGTTCTTTAATAGGAGAGGGATCGTTGTTGTCGTTCTTCAACAGGAGAGGGAAGAAGAGGGGCCGTCTTCAACCATGATGGAGAGGGTGTGCAAAATTAGATGGGTATGCACTTGAGTGTGATGATATTATGAATAGGGGTAAATTTGATATTAAATGGGGTGTTAAACGAAATCTTATTAAAATTTAGTATTTAGGATTTAGGATTTAGCATGGGAGTTTGAAGAAATGGAGAGTCCAAAGAATTAAGGTAGGTGCTAATAGCAGTCATCAAGAAAAAAGATAGGTTTAGGAATCACTCCTAGAATTCTTAAGCATCATACCTAGGGTCTGATTGTATCACACAATCCATAAAAAAGCTTCAAAGCTCGTAAAATTCTCTAAAATATTAACTTTATTAAATTATTAAAGTTACATGGCTTTCTATAGAATTAGGAGACTTCCTAAACCAATGACCAAAAAAGAAAACTACTAGAATATCTTTGACTTTCAAAACTAATCTAAGACCAAACAAGAAAAAAAAACAAAGACTAATTAAATAACTTGACCCACAAAAAGACCCATGGGGGACCCACAATACCTCATATTTGAAAATTTTGCAAATTACCAAAATACTCCTAACCTACAAATTTTAGAAAACATAAAAATAATCATAAAATAAGACTAATAATATTAGAAATATAATTATTTAAGATTCCTAACAATTTCTCTTTGAAATCATGTTAATGTCCAAATATTATCGCTTCTTTGAATTTAGTCTTTCTTGAACTTTTTATACTCCGCATCACCTGGTGTTTTACGTGTATTTCAGTGAGTGTTTGTGATGGTCAACTCTGTTTGAATTCCAAATTTCTGGTTTTTGATTTAAGTTACATGTGAATAAACATTGTTTTAGTAATGAAATACCATTGAATTTTTTTTAATGGTAAACATTAGTGATTCTGTATATGGCTGAAAGCATTAATAATTCTGTACATTCCAAAGTATCCCATTAAGTCCTCTGAGGTAGCCGCACAATTGAATTGGCAAAATTGACAGGAGAAACTCTAGACGAGTATTTTCCCCATCTAGTTAGTTTAGTTGTAAACTGTCTGTTGTTTGAAGCTTTAATATTATACATCCCAAAGTTGTTTTGTACGTCTTTTTTTTCCCCCCTAGTTCTACCCATATTAAGCAAACTTAAATGACTTTTTCCATGTTGATTTTCAGAGTTCTAGTGGTGCTGAAGTCAATGAAGATGCGCAACTTCTTCTGTCCACTTTAGAGAAAACCAGAAGACAAAAATTTGAAGCCATCTTAAAACTGCAGCAAGAGAACAGTGGCTTAATTGAACCCAAAAAGAATGAAGTATTATTGCCAGGCATGTTTCTTCCGCAGTTGACCCCACAATCTACTCCCGTATCAGTCAAAGAAACATCTGAGCAACAACACACAGATCCTACCGTCCCATCCGTGACGAATTCCATTGGTTCTTCAAGTAGGCCTAGCACCAGTGAACACAGGAACTCAGGCATGAGGAAGCACAGAGGACGAAATTCAAGAAAACAATTCAAACAGTGGATTAAGAAAGATATTGGCAATGCAGATTAACCTGTTAAATAGAAAATTTAAGAGTCTCTCTCTTTCTCTCTGGTTTAAAAGCTTTCTTAAAGTATCTGTTCATTAAAGTAAAAAAATATGCAATATGAGTTTAATGCTGAAACTATTTATCAAAAAAATAAAAAAATAAAAGTTCTTTTTTAATGCTGGACTAGTTTTTGAGGCCCGAACTGGCTTATGAAGAACATGGGTGGGAATTGATAATATGCCCTCGATTGTGTATAACTGTTTGAACTCTATACATTTCCAAATGCAATGTATGAAATCCAAATTTTTATCTGTGAGCAGGTGCAGAATACTGTATGAATATTAGGTTAGGTTTATATATAGTATATATTGTGTATATATTTTGAGAGATTGTGTATATATGTGGCAGTGTTTTCTTTTCTTTTTTAGTCTTAGGGTTAGGATTACTATATAATCATATGTATTCTTTGTATTATAACACAATTTGAATATGTAGAAAATATTAAGAAATCTTACATGGTATTATAGCCGTGTATGAAACCCTAGAACCATTGATTGTTGATTTTTGAACGACCTCTCTCTGTCACAAGAATTGCGATTGTACCCACATCGTAATCAGCATCGGTTCTTGTTGGAATCAAGCTCATCCAACATTGGAATCATCATACCTCAGTCTTTGGTTCGGGTGATTGGTCCATCTGAGTCGCACATCTGGATCGCACCCCTTCGTCGCATGTGTGACTCGTGTGGGTGATCCATTTGGTTCGAACCACTTCGTCACTCCTCTGACTTGCATAGGTGACCCATCGCGATTAACTCGACTTTTCTCTGGTCCTTTGTTTCGGAATTTCTGGTTCTCTAGGAGCTTTGTTATCTGGTTGCTTCGTCTCTCTCATTCAGCCCATCTAGGTCATTTGTTCCATTTGACTGTTCTATCTAGATTGACTAGTTCGATCCATTTGACTGTTCTATCTAGATTGACTAGTTTGAGAGACCGGAGATTCAAGTCGCGAAGCTTCTCTTTGTAATGATTTCACTCTCCGTGGTTCTCTAATTTCGTGAGTCTCGATATCTTTATTCTCTGTGGTTGAGTCAATCCTCTATCTTGCGGTTGGTGACTTATTGGTATTGACCTATCTGAGATTGGTATTAGTTTGTTATAGTTTGACCTATCTGTTTTGTGTTATTACACTTAGGCCCCATCAATTCTTTTTTCATTTTGTGGTTTATTACAATGTCGAATGATAAGATTGTTGAGCCTAAAAATAGGCTGTTGGCTTTAGATGAGTGTGTTTTTTGCCATCAGTGGGGCCATTGGAAGTACCATTATCCCAAGAACGGACATCTGCCTGCCTCCTCTTTTCAGCAGTCTTAGAACCAATTTCGAGCTCCTTCCGATGCTTATATTGCATTTACTCCGGTTTCTGATTTTGACTTGGCTTCCTTGAGTGTTCAAATTAGTCAAATTCAACATATACTGTCTACTTTCCAACCATCTCCATCTGCCCTCATTGTTTCCTCTCTTTATTTAGGTTTGCTTGGGTCTTTTTCAGGTATCTCTTCGTCTGTCTAGATTTTTGATTCTGGTGCTTCTCATCATATGACTCCCTATCTTTTCTTACTTCAAAATTGTACTGCCCCTCCCTTTCCTATTATTGTTAGTGCTGCTAATGGGTTTGGTATGTCTGTTATATCTGTTGGGTCTGTCTTACCGTCTACTATGGCTGCTGTTTTTATTCTATCTGTTCTTTATGTTCCTCAGTCATCTGTTAGTTTATTATCTATTAGTCAGCTTGATACCTTCAATTTTGATGTTATCTTTTCTTCTTCTATCTGTTCTGTGCAGGATCGGATGTTCAAGCAGCAGATTGGGACTAGTCGTAGAGTTGAAGACCTCTATGTGGTGGAGAGCCTACATCTGCCTATGACTATCTCTCCAATTGTTTTTTTCCTCTTCTCAGTTAGATTCTTTGTCAAGTCCTTTCTATTTGTGGCATTCCAGATTAGGGCATTTGTCTGCTGATCGTTTTCGGTCTTTAACTCAGTCAGGTAGATTTGGTAAAATTTCTCCTAGTCAACTTACCGAGTGTTAGGGGTGTAAACTTGCCAAAATGACAACTTTACCTTTCCTTAAAAGTACCTCTATATCTGATATACCGTTTTCTTTAGTTCATACTGATGTTTGGGGTCTTTTTCCTATTCTCATTAAAGAGGGCTTTACATACTATGTTTTACTTGTTGATGACTGCACCCGTTACACTTAAGTTTATCTTATGACTAGTAAGTTTGACTTCTATCAGATATACCATACTTTTCAGTCTATAATCACTACATAGTTTGGGTCTACTATAAAATTGTTGCGGTTTGACTTGGGCAGGGGAATACTTTAAAACTGAGTTCTGTGAATATTTGGCCAATTTGGGTACCATCAGCCAAACTTCTTGTACTGATACACCTGCCCAAAATGGTCGAGCTGAGCGTAAACATCGTTATCTCCTTGAAACAGCTAGGTCTCTCTTTCTCTTTGCCTTCATTCTGGCTTCGTTTTGGGGTGAGGCAATTCTTGCTACTGCTTTTCTTCTCAACTGTATGCCTACTCCTTTCTTTTTGGTCGGTCCCCTTATGAGGCTCTATTTTCTCAACTTCCTAATTACTCCATTCTTCGTGTGTTTAGGTCTGCTTGTTTTGTCCTTTTATCCTATAAAGATAAGATCAAACTTAGTGCCTGGTCTGTCCTATGTGTCTTTTTGGGTTACAGTCTCACTTAGAAAGGTTATCGCTGTTATGACCTTGTTTCCTGTTTCCTTTATGTCTCCCGCTATGTTGCCTTTCTCGAACGTTTACTTTACTTTCAGCTTCATTTTCTCATAGCCCCAATTTCTAAAGAGGATTTGGTTGATGTTGATCCATTTTCTTTTAAGGTCCCTCATAATGAGTACATCTCTACTGTTTCCCATGAACTTATTCACCCTTCTCCTAATGAGTCCCTCTCTACTGACCCCTATGAGTTTGTGCTTTCCTCTCCTCTTCCTTTCCGACTTGCTCCTGCTTCTACTCCTACTCCTTCTCTTTCTCCTTCTCCTTCCCATTCTCTAGTATTAGTCTATTCTCGTTGCAAGACTCTCTTTCCACCAGTTGTGTCTGCCCCTACTATTGATTCTCCTACTTTTGACGACTCTGATCTTACTAATCGTAAGTATGCCCTTCACATCCGTAAACAGGTAGTCAAACTTGGTTTTGCTAAAATATGTTTTTCTCCTTTATACTGTACGTTTTTGTCTGCTATTAACTCTTTTTCAAAACCTCAGTCTTACAAGGAGGTTTGTCAGGATCCTCATTGGATTCAAGCTATAGATGATAAGTTGTCTGCTTTGCAGAAAACTAGTACTTGGGAGTTGATTCCTTTGCTTGCTGGTAAGAGTCTAGTTGGTTGCAAATGGGTCTACAAAGTCAAGTCTCATTCTGATGGTTCTCTTGAGTGTTACAAGGCTCGCTTGGTTGCTAAGGGTTTTTCATAGGAGTGTAGTATTGATTATGAGGAGACCTTTACCCCTGTGGTCAAGATGACTACTGTTCGTACTTTGATATCTGTCGTTGTTGTTCGTCATTAGCCTCTTTATCAGATAGATGTTAAGAATGTTTTTCTTAATAGTCATCTCACTGAAGAAGTTTACATGTGTCCTCTTCCTAGTCTTCACTATTCATCTAGACAGGTTTGTCGTCTTTGGCGTGCTCTGTATGGTCTGAAGCAATCTCCTCGTGCTTGGTATGATCGTTTTTAGACTGCTGTTACTAAGCTTGGGTTCCATCATTCCACCCGGGACTCTGTTTTGTTTCTTCTCCACAAATACATGCAACCATCCTTTTAACACCAATTGAAATTTTGTCTTTGTTTGATCTTTGGTGTCATTTCATGCTCTAAAGAGAGTAATTCTAATGACACTTCATGACCTTAAGATTTTAAATTTATGCATTTGATTTTGCAGTGTCATGCTTGGTTGGTTCAAGACAAGGATTTTAATGCTAGTCATTGAATTGATCAACCAACGGCTATAGTGTATTGTCTACATTCTGCAAGTTTGGTTTATGTTGTAAGGAGTTTGAAATGATTGGGAGATTTGCATTCAGGTATGCCCCACAGGGCTAGTTTTGTTTTGTTTTGTTTTGTCTTTTTTTTTTGTTTTGTTTTTTGTTTGTTCTATTTTCTTCTTTTTGGTTGAATATGGCATGCTATGTAGAAATTCCGTGATTATGGTTCCTAAATTTGTTTGTATGCCATAACCGAGGAAACCCATACAGGCTTGATTTTTTTAGTTTTTTTTTTTGGTAGAACATTTGGCCGATAGACATATCGTTATAGGTATTCCAATTCTGGAATGAGAGTGATAACATGTGTTATGAATATGCACATTGAACCTAATTGCATGAAAACTTTGAAAACTCGTAGTGATCTCAAACAATTTTAAGGTTTCCAAAATGTGCTTTCAAATTTTCTTATATAAGTTGGCCTCCATATAGGTTTAAGAGGTCTATGGTTGTTATGTTGTGCACTGCCCATATGAAAAACCAATTGATTTAATAAGATGACAATAAGTTGATGAATACATGCATTTTAATATAAATAGGAAATTTTGATGTAATAGGGTTTTTATTCTTTTGGATTTTATTTGTTTATTAATAGTAGTTTCTAATTCCTTAGTTTGTTTTGCCTAAACATATATGGCTTGTTGTAATGGTTTTAGATACCTTTGAATGAATATTGATCGAGAGAATTTTCAAAAACCCTAGAGTGATATTGTACCGTCATTCCTTATTGGTTCTACACCACCAATATTGCTAGAGATATTGGGAGAAGGAAAACAATACGAACACATAAATTTTTTCGAGAAAAGTGAACATAATCGAGATGTCCTTTTAATCCAATAGGCGTTATACAACTCTCATAGGCAGCAACATTGATACCTTTTTGTGAAACATTTATGAGTTTGTAGCATTACTGTTTGGCGAAAAGACACAATTCAGAATGAAAATCTATGAAGTGGAAGCCCCACACTTGTTTGATTGAGGCAGAAGTAGTTTGGATTCTGGTTAAAAATGACATTCTAGACACCATAAATGTTCAAAAGCTGTCCACCATTTCTGAGGTAAGAGTTTGGTAATATAAATGGGAATGGATCTCTCTCAACAAGTTTTCATTAAATTCTTTGTTGTAATATGCCAAAACATGGCATTTCAGTCCCTAGCATTCATAGGGAGCAACTTGGAGAGGCCATTGCTCTGTGTGTGTGAAAGAGAGAGAAGATGACTACGAG